TGATCACCTTGAAAATTTTAAGGCATGAACAGCTAAGTTCTCATCTGACAGGTGAAAAGCAATTTAATTCTAAAATGTATTCATAATTCAATTTCTAAACAGTTCTTCATTTATAAAATGATTATACCTCTAGTTTTATTAACAGCCCTTGTTGCCTCCTCAATTTGCTTTGAGTTTCCTCAAATCAAAACTTTACAATGAAACTTAGGTTTTATATTGCAGGGTTAAGGATTAATTTGAGTAAAAGTAGATCAAGTTGAGCATCAGGCTGAAATTCATATTGTCAGCGTGCTAGTGTCTTAAAGAAAGAACATTTCATTTCATAGAAAATCTTAATCTACAATTATTTATTGAGAGGAGTCTCATATTATGGGAAACAGCAAGAAGATGTTTTGCCATAAAAAGCATTTACCTATTTACTCAGTAAATGTTTTCTGGGCATCTACTATAAACTAATGGAGCCCTGGTGGTATAGTAGTTACGCATTGGGCTTTGATCAGCATGGTCGCAGTTCAAAACCACAAGCAGCTCCATGGGAGAAAGACTGAGCTATCTACTCCCGTAAAGAGTTCCAGTCTCAGAAACCCACAGAGGCTCGCTGTGAGTCAACATTGTTTTGATGGCCGTGAGTGGTTCTTTAGGCTGAACTGCACCCTAGACAGCCCACTGCCCTCAAGTCGATTCCGACCTATGTGACCCTGTAGGTGAGAGTAGGACTACTCCTTAGGGTTTCTAACTCTTTGAGTGAGCAGACAGCTCTATCTTTCTCCTATGGAGTGGCTGGCATGTTAGAACTGCCATCTCTCAGTTAGCAGCCCTGTGCCTGGGCTATAAGGCCACTAGTGCTTCTTCACTCTGGGCAGAGTGCTATACAAATATTTCTTACTCCTTTGGAGTTTACAGCCTCATTTGAAAGAGTTGATGTCCTGTAGGAATTCACCAGAAAAGACATTATTTTGGTGTCACCTGTCATAGACTGGTAACTTACTCCCTCTTCTCCAGGTGTTATATTTTCTGTCATTTCAAGTTATGGATTGCTTTCTTGGAATTTTTCCCCAATTAGAAAAGTAGAATCTAATGGCTAATTAGAGAGTGAATTGTAATCACATTTGTTTCTGAGGACAAAGGTGAGACTCATTCATGACTTGGCTAATTCACAAAGAATTAAATGTTGACCATGTTTCCCACTTTATGCTAAGTATTGAAGAGCCTAATGGGGAGCATTTTTGAACTGGATCTTCAATTTCAGGCTTCAGCAAACTGTGGCCTCTGAACCAATTGCCTGTTTACGTAAATCAGTTTTATAGGCACACAACCAGGATTTTTTTGGCTGTTGCCTTAGGCTACCTTTGAACCACAGTGCCAGTGTTGAATAGTTGCCTTAGCATAACTGTAAAGCCTAAAGTATTGACTGTCTGGCTCCTTACAGAAAACAACAACAACATCGTGCTTGATAAACATTGTCACACTTATAAAATTTACTATAAAATATGCTTAATATTTTAGACTATTAAGATCACAAATAATTCCTTTTGGATCAGTTTTAGATGTGTTTTGATCCTTTGTTTTCTATTTCTTAGCCATCTCAAGGTTAGCCGACCTGTTCTCACAGTGCTTATCTTTTGAGTCGGAATGTAGCTAATACTGCGATCCCACGTATTCCCATCATGCTTCTTTCACGTAAAGCAAAAAAAGAGAGTGTTCATGCAGTCTTTTGCAGAGATAGTTTTTTAAATGATGTAGAAACAAATGACCAAGAAAACCAAAAATTATAAAATAGTAAGACCGAAATACAGAATTCCTCATTGCTTACTACATGTCTCTTCCAAAGGCCTTCAGTGAAGACTTTAGTCTTTACACCAAAGGAAGATCTGTGATTAGTTTTTAATCAAGTACAGGTATAATTTTTATCAGAATTTTTTCAAACTTATTTATTTAATTTGTACCTGTGCAAAGTACTATATCTCACTAGAATATATAGATTTATTTTATTATATGAAGAATCTTTATTCCTTAAGTTACCCTTTTATATTAAAAGGCTTTAAGGGATCTGAAGTTTTGTTATTAAAACCAGATACAACATTTTACCTCTTCCAGTGTTGCTGCCTGTTAGCCAAACTTCAGAATACCTCTTATGAACATATCAGGTTAATGCTATTTTGTGGATACCCTTAATATCAACAGATCCTGTCACTAAGTTAGAAATCTGAAAACATGTATGTATACATATATATGAATTACATGAATTCTCAGAAACCATGTTTTTCATTTTAAAGAAAAATTGAAATATGAAGTGCTAAATATTTTTAAATATTAGGAAGAAAGTTGTAAGCATGCATTTACATTTTTCAGCATTTCAGAAAAGTTTTTCATGTAATAACTCATAAGCATGATTAAACAAAGGAATAAATAACTCTTAACCTATGTCTGTTAATTTAATGACTATATATTTGTGCTTTGTCAATGTGAAATAATTGTATTTTAACTCCTGCCTATTTGATGTGTTGTGGTTTTGTGTTTGGCATAATTCATATGTATGTTTTATTGTTAATCCTTGGATCAGTATCTCAAAATGTTTGTTTATAAGTCACTGAACAGATATGTATTGTAATGAGTGCCTCTTTTCTTAAATAACAATTTGTTACTTTCTCTTATTAAACATTTGATTTTTGAATAGTGTATGCCTTCATATTTTACTTAGAATAAATACTGCAATCTTTCAGATTTTATTTCTGTAAGAAAGAAACTAACATTGGTATTTAAAGCATAAGACTGCTTGCTTAGCTGTCAATTCTTAAATACTTCAAAACTTTACATTCTCCTTTTATATGTCATAAAAATAAATAAAAGTATAATCTAAATAAATTTATCAAATTATAAATAGATGTGCTCATGATCAAGGTAGTTCTATAAAGGTAAGTGAAAGTTTTATTTTCTTATTTTTAAAATATATATTTAAGGAAATTACATTTAACATAATAACACTCTTTGAGCCAGTATTCTTTATTTTATATTACTATTCTGTATATAATTCCCCATCAAATCTCATTTAAGAAGTGAATCATTCTCTTGGAATTTTTTAATTTCTTATGTAGAATAAATCACATTTGATAAGCCATTATAATCCAATGTTATGGATATAATGAAGATTTAACTGGATGAAAGAGACTGTAATATACATCTATTTTTTCTTTTCCTTAAAGATAGCTTTTCTTACAAAAAAAGAAGGTGAAAAAAATGAAAGTGCTACATAGACCTTCTTCTTAGGCTATACATTTCTCTGTTTTCTTTAAAAATAAAATGCTTATCTATTGCATGATGCAGAAAAAGTTCATATTACAGAAAGTCTCTAGTATGACAGAATGTAATCCAACGAACAGAAGTGCTTTCTCTGACACATAGCTGTGTGTCTGAAGTTTGTGACTCACAGCTTTGTGCCAGCAAAGAACACAGAGGGTCTGGGAAGAGTGCTTGGCATGGCCCTACGGAAACTCCTACTGGAGGTGAAGTTCACTCTGGAAGAAATTGGTAGTTCACTCCTAAGAGCAGCAGCAGCCAAGGGAGCAAGGCGCTTGTGGGAAACTGGCTGCAAGCTGCTGTTGATTCCATATTGGACTATAAAAGATGGAGTGCCCCATAAAAACATTTACTTAGGTATTTAATTAAATTTGATTTTTAAAAATCTCATGTGTATACATATATGAATAGGCCAGAAATCTATTTAATTCTAAGTTTACCATAGGCATATTTCAATGTTAATGAGTATTTGGATATGATGATCATTACCATATCCTGCT